AGTTCTTTTAGTTTTTAGATTAGTATCGGATGTTCCTTCATTCCGTGATCTAGTCTAATCGTCTCATCAATTTATAAAACTCGCAAAGTACAACATCACCGCTAAATTTTACATATAACTGATGTAATAGGCTCGTTTTCAACAACAAACGTGCAGTTTTTCTTTATTTTTTTTTTCATACGTAAATGAATCATGTTTGGATTTCATGCAGCAAGAATGCTGAGTTCTTTATTAAGATTTTCTTGTCACGAAACACAAAAATTTCCTTTGCAAAAACATCCCATTTCTGCCCCTAAATTTAAAAGCTTGCATGGTAATGCGCAATACAATGGGCATCTTTATTTGGGCATATTCTTGGCTGATATTAGCAGATGTTGGTAAACACGTTCTCGCGCTATCCTGTCTGATTATTGGCGCAATAATAAATTATTTTCCCTATTGTTTGGTGGGCAAATTGAATGTCATCTTCCTTACAAACATATCCACGATCACACATTTAAAGATTGAGAGGGGAATTATGGGCGCTCTACTGAAAAGCGCGCGCTAAACCTGCTGATAGAGTATTATTGTTGTCTTCGATTCTCGGCTTTATTTTATGCCTTAGTGACCTTCGTCTGAGGAAGAATTACCTGCCTTTACAGTGGGAGGACAGGATGAAACACAGCTATCGTTTTCATCAGGTAGATTTGCAGTGTTGGGGATTTGAAATTAATATCAGTTAGTAATGTGTATCTCCGGGATTCCTCAGAAATATTTTAACCTCCAGTGAAGATGCATTTCACCCATGAAGATAAGTGCTTGTCCTTGATGCCAAACGGCTGAGGACAAGCTGACAAGTACAAAGAATATAAGTAAGCTTCATGACCCCAAGGTGTCCGCCCTCTTCGTTCACATAAGTTTACACGCACGACTTTCTAAAGAGATGATTTGCGCGGGAGAAAAGGGCTAGTTCAAACCAGTTATGTATAACTCGGTAACAAAACCGATCTAAGATTTAATATTGAAGAAGATTTACTTCCAGGTAGAAAAACAAACAACACACGNGGTAAACACGTTCTCGCGCTATCCTGTCTGATTGTTAGCGCAATAATAACTTATTTTCCCTATTGTTTGGTGGGCAAATTGAATGTCATCTTCCTTACAAACATATTCACGATCACACATTTAAAGATTGACAGGAGAATTATGGGCGCTGTGCTGAAAAGCGCGCGCTAAACCCACTGATAGAGTATTTTTGTTGTCATCGATTCTCGGCTTTATTTTATGCCTTAGTGACCTTAGTCTGAGGAAAAATTACCTGCCTTTACAGTGGGTGGACAGGATGAAACACAGCTATCGTTTTCATCAGGTAGATTTGCAGTGTTAGGGATTTGAAATTAATATCAGTTAGTAATGTGTATCTCCGGGATTCCTTAGAAATATTTTAACCTGCAGTGAAGACGCATTTCACCCATGAAGATAGGTGCTTGTCCTTGATGCCAAACGGCTGAGGACAAGCTGACAAGTACAAGGAATATAAGTTAGCTTCATGACCCCAAGGTGTCCGCCCTCTTCGTTCAGATAAGTTTACACGCACGACTTTCTAAAGAGATGATTTGCGCGGGAGAAAAGGGCTGGTTCAAACCAATTATGTACAACTCCGTAACAAAACCGATCTAAGATTTAATATTGAAGAAGATTTACTTCCAGGTAGAAAAACAAACAACACACGCTACATGAAGCAGTCATTTTTGACAATTTCCATAACTTTGAATGGAATCCGAGTAAACATCTCCTACAAAATTTATTGCCTTCTCAGCTCTGTCAGTCAAAAAATCAATTAGTCTGTAGAGGACGAAATTAAAACGCAAAGATATACTTTTATAGACGTTCTACACCGAATTATCACAACAAAGATATGGAACAAATCTCACTGCACCGGAAAAAGCAAGCAAGTTAGTTTTTTGGTATAGGGGCTTAGGATGCAATCATAGCTACGAGGTAGAAACTTTCGGCTTTCGAGTTCACCTGTATATTTCGAACGAATTCAAAAATCACAAGCACAAGCCCGGCTAAAAAAATAATTTTCTTCCATAGCAAACTCAGTCGGGATTGGCCACACCAGATGTTCAACGACTTAACAGGGAATTAAATCGGGGTAGAGTTGAATTTTATCAGCAAACCGTCATTGCAATCCTTTTTTTACCTTGAGCTAAAAAAGGTATAGGTTCATCGACATTTTATGAATTTTTCAAAAACATTTTCAGTATTTCTTGTCTTCTGCCAAATTACCACTGAAATTTTAATCAGCTTGTCTGTCGTCGCTTTGACTGTAGTGGGGTGTTTTAATTTCTTTACTTATTTCAATCTGAATTCTCGACACTGACAGCTTGCACTTCTTCGTTCTATTTTCCGCAGAACATACCACCGCACAACGAGAAAACGACTTCACTGACTTACGCCTAGCTTATCACAGAGAATTCTCTCCATTTTGTTGCCCTTTAAATTGACTCAATAGGTGGTTAAATGGAATCTTTTTATTTGCTACTTAAGGTTTGTAAACACGTCCATTTTCATTCTAATTGCATGAAAGAGGTTTGAATTATATCTTAATCAGACTATTTGAAATAAATTGGTGTGTTGCTTTTATCGCACAAATTTTCCGCAATATCACATTTGTAAACATAAAACATTTTGTTTCCTAATTTCTTTTAATTTTTGTCAGTTTGGGGCTTAAAACGAGTTAGGCGAGAGCAAAAGTAAAACTGCTGATCTTGCAGCATTACAAAAAAATTACAATGAAAATGCCGTCTATAAGCCCTGGATTTTTTAACAAGTTCATAGGCTGCTAAAAGGTAAGGTAAAGTTAAATTTTGTGTTTGAGCCTGGTCAGGTCGGCGCTTATCCCAGTTTCCGTAACATTAAGCGACTTCGAATATTTCTACTCCCCCTAAGATGGGATGCTAGTCCATCGCAAGGTTACCCCCAGCATTAAATTCGCCGGCAACTATTTATAAACTTGGGTGGAGAGAGGCACTGTGAAAATGAAATGTCTTGCCCAAGAACACAGCAAAATGACCCCGGCCAGGGCTCGAACGCGGACCACTCGATCCGCAGTCCAGCCTCGGGAGTCCAGCGAGCTAACATTAACAAAGTTACTAGAAAAATACACCAGAAATAGAAAATAGAAAAAAATATTAAATGCGCGTTTCAGAAGAGTAATGTAAGAAAGCTTTCTGTCCAGGCCACTGAAATAAGAACATAGATTTATAAATGAGAACTTTTTTTAAAGTAGGTTTTGCGCTCACGTTCAGTGTTTGCTTTCGATTCCGTACCCTGAAACTAAAATCTATATTTACTTCATTCCTTGCTTTGTTTCGTTGACTTTTTTTCAACTCAAACATTTAGATTTTTAAGAGGAAATCATTTTATTATTTCAGTCATTTAAAAATTCGGTTTGAAAAATTTTGCCGTAATTACTTTTACCAGCTTGATTTTTCTGTATACACTTGAGCCTAAAAGCGAGTGCTCACGGAGAAAAATTAGCAAGTAGGTTATTTAGTTATGCAGTTGATTTTGTAATGGTATTTAAAACTCGCCCCATATGTGCCAAGAAGGAAAATCTATTTCAGCCGAAAACCTTTTTTAACGGCTCCTGCTATTTAAGCTCGATCAAAGTCTGATTAAGGGTAGCACAGGTCCTCAAAACTTCGCCAATTCTTGGATAATCTCGGGCAATTTCCGTGAAAGAGTCAAGTCGAAAAGAACTTTAGCTCAGGGTTTGTCACAAAAACAGTACAGCTTTAAAATTTGGACTTTCCGAGGACAATTTAGTTATATTGTAATGTGTTCTAGATATAGTCGCTCTGTATTTTGTTTCTACTTTCTTTGCGTGAAATCTTTTGTTCTGAAATTTTTTTTGTGCTTAAGACGTGACTGGAAGAAGGACATGCGAATGTACGTAACGCGAACGGAAATTGTGGTGAAACCAGTGGGCATATTCACCTTACAATATAAAATAATCGCCCTTTCTCCAGTTTTTGCCAGGAAATGGCACGGCGTCAGACCTATCTATACAGAAATATTTTTACCTTGACTAGATTTCCAGAACTGGCTTTTAAATTTGCCCCAAGACGTTTTAGAAATGCAAGTAAATTTCAGAGGAATAGAATGAAAGTTTTACATGGAACATCGTTCACAACGCAATCTGCGGTTTTATCTGTTTTTTTTGATCTAGCAGTAGATTCGGAAAAATTAAAGCTGCTGTGAAATGAAAAGTTCTCACTTATACTAAAGAGTCTGTTATTAAATTTGCATAAAAGTATTATTATCTCGTTGTTTCTTTTTCACAATTTTCGCGAGTGGTAATGACCTCACAACATCTTTGGTACCGAGAAACGGTGTACCAATAAAAAGAAAAGCTCTTTCACCTATTTGTGAATATATCGCCGCTAAAATCGTTTCAAGGAGAAATAAATTTTGGACGTTTAACATTTAGAGACGGTTCTTAGAAACGTGGATTAAATGGTTTCATTTAATGACCAAACGGAGTCATTTCTATAGTACAGTTTAAAAACCTCACAAAAGAGCTTGCACCTTGCTTTCTTATGTTTATGCAAAATGTATACGTATACAATGATAAGTTAGGTGTCATCTCAAGTACATCTTGTCTCATTTGCAATCAAGATATGAATTTAGGACGCAAGTATATTTGATGCTCAAACTGTTTTGAGGAAAGATCCGCAAATATCGTTGTTGCAAAAGGTGAGGAGCTTTGAACTTTGGTGTCTGAAAAACGGAGATGGAACTGTGCACGGTTTTGAAATATTTTTGAGACAGTCGGCAAACATACAAATGTTCTGTATACCTGTTCATTTATTACCGGTTGTGAAAGTAGATATTGGCAGATAGCTGAATATGTCTGATGTTTTAGCCTACAGGAAAACGAGAAACGAAACAAAAGGTATTACAAAAGGTAAGCTCTTGCTCGCAATAATATAAAGCAGATTAAACCAAGATAAAACCTGGAAGAAATTCATAGAATCTTTTTATTTTGAAATCCTTGTAGCACGCCTTCAAAAAAACTTAGACGGCAGCAATTCAAACCATCGTTGGCTTATTACAGCTCAATTAATTTCAGTTCTGAAACTGCATTTAAATAAAAGTGCCTAAATAACGATATTCAGCTTTCGAAACAAACTCGGCTATCGTTGAAAAATACATCTTGATCGATTTAAAGACAAAGAAGATTTCCTTTGAGATACCAATGTCTCAACTTTTCTAAAGCGAATTCTTGGTCGAAGAATTTCACAACACCCTGGGCATTGAATTGATTGTATAACAGGTTTAATTAAGACCTGGCACAAAGACTGGGTCTTCTGAGTGAAAATTAACGGCCCGTGTGCTAAGAAATACTCAATCAACATGGCCAAGATAGCGAACTTTCTTTTGTATTTTTCTATGTATGTTTGTATATCTATCCGTATATGGTCCAGGTGCTTTGCTTTTTGTTCACTGTTCCTCCTACGCGCTGAGAATCTCTTCTGAACTATCGTTGCAGAATTGTCAGTTTGAGAAACCATTCCGGCCTATGATAGTATTTTACTGCTGTACCCTCCAAAGATGCGAAAGCGGTTGCTAACAGTGTGTGAGTAATAGCGAAATTTCTAGTAACAACCATGCAGAAGAACTGAGAATCAACAGAGTATAGTACCGAATCGGCTCATTTACATTTACTGCGAAGGTAAGAGATTATGAATGCGAAAATTTGAACATAAAATGATAAAACATAATGAAATATCTAATAGGAGAATTCAAATGCCCAAGTCGAGTACAAGCCATCATTAGCAAATGATATCCCATATATTGACACCATCCTTAAGACTGAATTTTCAAAGTTAAAGTTCTTTAAGACCTTAAATTAAGCTAAGCTAGCGAGAGTTTTTAAAAAAAAAACTTAAGTTCTTATACAAACGTGTTACCTGTTACCATACTTCGATAAAAGCGCGGTGCATGTGGCCAAACAAAAATAATTAAGGATGGTGTGGACAAGCAAACATGTTTTAAATTTTTCGGTACCTCCTTCAGAAAAAAGGTCAACTCTTTACGTTTTCCTTTTAAGTTTCATTCCACATTCAAAGCTCGGACGTACTACCTAAGTGGCCTAATTATGACAAAACTTAAATAGTTAAAAATTTGGAGTCGACTAACTAACACCGTATGAAAGTACGCCCATTGCGGGTACAAAAATATAATTTCTTAAAACATGAAAAGCTCAGCAGCTTGCATGCATGTTCGTGTACATAAGCTATGACAGGCCAGACAGTTAGCAAGCCCGTGGATGACATTTGCTTCCTTTTTAAACAAGCGTTTCAGTAAATAATGGACAAGCAATTTTGTCTGCGAACACCAGGCGTAACCGTTGGTAAGTTACCGCGGCCGATGAATTTGCGCAAACTACAGAAGAAAAAAAAAACGCAGCCTGCGCTATTAAAAAACATTCCCCCCAAAAGGTAAATGGCATTTACTTTTTTAAAAATTCCTTGAGCCCGAGCTTTAGCGTGGCTTTTAGACGAAAACGTCTACATCACCAGCCAGAGGTCTTTTTAATAGCATCGCCTCAGTTGCTTTCTTTGCTTGAAGTTTTCTCTTTTTTCGCTTTCTTGGTTTTTCCGTGATAGCTAAATACCATTCTCTGAGCTGAGTTCAGGAACGGAGAGGACCGTGTGAGTTTAATGTACTTTAGTTACTTTGTTTAAGAATTGTGTCCCCCCCCCTCCTCGATTCCGGCGGAAGTAAGGAGTTTTCTGCCGATGACTGCAGGTTGCGGGGGGAGTGGTTAACAATCAGTAGGAGAAATCTGGATAGTGTGTTCTTTGGTAACTGGGCTCCTGGTGGTGCTAATTTTCTCTTGTCACTCATTAGTTGTTTCAGCTTATAAGGATGGTACACGCCAAAACTTCGTAAACACGCTTACAATAGAACCAATGAAACCCGTAAAATTCCTTTTCTGAAATCCATTCTTGAGGTGTTGATGGTCTTTGATTGGCTTGTTCTCAAGACAAATTAAAAGAATGGGTTTGAATTGACTGTCTGTGAACGTTTTTTCTGGGTCCAGATTTAATCGGTTCATTTCACTTGGAACAATACTCTTTCATAATCAGTCGGTTTGAAAAGGCTTGCCGTCATTTCCTCTCCAGAGTTTTGTACAGAGAACTGTTTCGTGCTATCACCGGCTAACCATAGAGCCCCCGCTTAAATCGTCTAAATAATTGATTTACAAGACATCAAATTTTACCTTTGGCGTTGATTGATGTTTGAGATATCAAACCCAAGGCGGACATAATACGATCGGATGAGCGTGTTTTAGCTTTAACTAGCTGGATGATCGACTCAAGGACTGTTCAAGAGTGTTATCTATCGATTGCTCCTTGAGACTCAACCGGAACCTGTTGCTGTTGCTGGTTCAGTTCTGTACTCGAATGGTTTCGTGTCGACCTCGGACAGTTTAACCTTGTGGATTAGTTGGATCACAGTAAATACAGCGCGAGGTAGGATAATGGCTGTGTTTTGATCCCTTGTTCTATGAAATAATAGCACCATTTTCAAAAGCGACAAGCGCAATAGATTAAATAATGGATTAGCATTAACGGTAGTCTGAAGCGACTTGGCACTTTTTGCAATCATGTCTTGAGGTATGTTGCTAAATATATGTCTTTCCTTGAGTTTATTCGATACCTCTTCAAACCGCTTGGCGTTTATCTTTTAGACCTTTCATTTAAAGCACGACAACACTAAGCTGTGTCTCTGATTGGTATCACTAGTACTTATGATTGAAGTGGATGTTTTTAATCAT